CCCCAGGAAAAGCTTGAGTCCGTTGCCAGGGAAAGGCAGGTCTGGACCGCCTTACTCAACATGCTGCCGACGCGACCCTCACCATGACAAGCGGATGAAAAATGATGCTAAAGGTGCCCATTTTGAAAAAAAGGGAAACCATAGGGAATTTTGCACTTTCAAACCTGTTTATCATATAAACCCAGAAATGCAGAATTACCACTTGAAGTACAAAATAAACCAGTTTGAAATGTGTGATATACCTGAAGTTGCTATCTATGCACAGTAAACATGATAAGATTATCAAGAAAACTTCTGCTGTAGCATTAACATCCCAATTACTTCTCATTATGTTGTTCCAATTCAAAGGAAATATTTGAGGTAAAATCTGAATAACAAATTGAATTAAGCCAAAATATAATATATAAAAAAAACACTTTTCAAAATTACACATTTAATGGTGAATTGTCAATTCGCATATACGAGCAGTAACTGCACTACATCTACATATTCACAGGAATGATTATTGTAAACAAGGTTTAATTTTGATTGATTTATATTAAATATATATGTCCTATATTAATTTTATTATCATATACACATCACTAAATATCAAGATCACTGTCCTCACTATCAGATTCACATGAAAGAATATCCTCAGTTAATCTCACATTGTCACAATGAACACATTTACATAGGTCAGTGCAGGCCAGGCCAGCCTTGTGGCATGAGCACCTTCCACCTGTACAAGTACCAGACTTACACCCACAGTGGAGTGACCCCAAAATCTGTTGAGGAGCTGGATCTTAAGTCATCCATGATATGATGAGATCACCATCCTTGACAATCCATCCAAAGCCGTCTGGACTGGGAGCATTTATAAAAGGATCCAATGCTCTCCTGTGGATTGCAGCTTGGTAGTTAGCACGCTTGAAGTGCTCTGTAAGTGCATCTTTTGTTGGAGGTAATGCCTGTTCGGAAGAGGCCGGGACACAGAACCTATTGTATCTGGCCAAATTAACATCTGATACATTTTCTCCATACAGCTCACACACAAAACGTTCTATGGTCACAAATGTGGTGCTGTCCATTTCAAATTGCCTCCCAAGAGCAACAAATGCACGGATGTACTCTGCATTTCCAGACACTATATTTAGTGGTTTCTCTTTTCCATAAAAGGAACTAGTTGAGTCACAGCCAGTGAATGTGTGTAGTCCTATCAGTGCCTCTGTTAGTGAAGGACCCAAAGCAGAACCAATAGCCTGGAGATCTAACATTCTTTGCCTGTCTTTTGTTCCTGTCAGAAAGTACATCTTTGCTGAGGGATGCTTAGCCATTATTGAAAGTGAAATGATAGCAACATCAGTGTCAGGACTCTGGATGATTATCTTATTATAAAGTTCACTCCAGGCATGTTTTGCATGAAGTAGGAGCCTCGTGTCCGCTTCTTCATGGTCACAAGTCAAAGATTCTACCTCTTTGACAGACATAATGCCATCTTTAAGAGTGAGTTGATGACATACATTTCTGTGTGCCACAAAGATAGCTATGTCTTTTCCAGCTGCTTGTAAAGACACAGTTCTCCATGTCTCAAAGAGAAAGTCTGTCAAGGCTTCTTTATTTTCACCACTGGCTAGAAACTTGGTCCACTGACTTGGAGTCTTCTGCTTGATGCTGTATATTTGCAATAATTGTTGTCCAGCAACAGCACGTCTTGATCGTTCAGCATTTTTGATGCTCACTGCCGGGTAGCAATCAATGACAAAATCGACCCTTGGACAACTGAACTTTCTACCCATCTTAATCATAAGTTGAAGATCATCAGCAAGCTCACCGAATGTGTCTGGTATATTCTTGAGACTCCTGATCAATGCCATGCCATCTATCAGTAGGGCACCATTATCACCAACAGTCTTGTTCACATGACAGTCCTTGTTCTTTGATTCTAAACAAGCTAGAAGAGCAGCTTTATTTGTTTTGGCTAATGAACCATCAGTGCTTGCTAGCGGGGATGAGATATTGCAAAGTGAATATGTCAGAATCTCTTTCAAGTTTACAGACCGGGATTGACGTATCACTAACAGTCGTGCAAAGAGTCTCCTGTCATTTTTTATAATGACTTGATTTCCATCTTTTGTCTTGGATGATTTCTTCATTTGATCCACAAACGTAGTGAGCTTCAAGGACTTTATTGGAGAGAAGAAGTCTGTTTTTGATGACTGGACTCGATCTTGGATGAAAATTTTCAGAGCTGTTTCACCTTTATCACAAGCACTTTGTATGTCATCTCTGACAGTCTTTGTAGCAACACCAGAGCTAACACATACAAGATCTTCACGAGGCAGGAAGGGATTGATCATAGACTCAACCGCTGAAACCAAAGATATAACAGCAGCATTGTATTTTGCAATTCTTGTTGCATCCAACTCTTTATGACCCCTCTCTTCATGTTGCATTCCAGCCATCATTTCACACTGCCTTGTGGTTGCAGAACGTTCAGGATGAGACAGTATCCATCGCTGGACAGCACCTCTGTTCAATGTTATCCCAGTTATGCCGCCTTTGGTCTTTGAATCACGGTTGCAGGTTTGTTCTATTGCTTGGTCACAAGCTATGGATGAGAACCTGTTAGCATCCTTACGCTGTACTGTCCAGTTTCCTTTTGCAATAACTTATTCATAGCAGTGTGGATGAGTCTTTGGAAGATTGATCATCTCGACCCAATATGCTGATAGGTACCTTGCATAAATTTGGCGGGCATATGCAAAATACCATGCCAGCATACGTCTCCCTGTTGCTAAGTGAAGGCTCCAGTCAGAGCCTCTGGTTGCTCTAATGAAACCCAGTAACAGTTGAACCATTTCAATGTATGAGCTCCAAAGTCCAAAGGTGGGATTAACAGAGTTCATCTCATGTACATATCTATCATAGCAGGACAGCATATCTGATAATATGTCAGACACTGAGTTAGATGAAAATCCTGCCTCAGACTTGTACTCTCGTACTAGATCTTCCATGGCTGATATGTAACGAGTGTGCTGTTGCTCAGGAAGGGACTGAAGAAATGACCTCAACCGCAAGATATGCATTGCCTCAAATAGGAGTTTGTGTGCACGAATGCTACGGTTGTAGTGATGTCCACTAAGGACTCCATTTATTGAACCAACAGCTGCCACATTTGATTCAATCAGCATATCCTGTAGTCCTGCTTCTTTGAAACGTTTGCCTATCACTGCCATAAAGGACATGGCTTATGTGGAACTCACCTAGTCTTGGGATGATACGCTGCATCAGATTTTGGTCTTTCCACCCTATTTGCTGCGCTTTAGCGTATATAGCCTGGTCATACACAGTGACAATACTCTCCAAATCTAGTCGATCAGCAATTTCCACACTTCTAGTGAGTATGGTGATTACAGTGGTTTACAGTGTGCGTAGTGATATTGGCTTGATTTTGGCTCTGACCTACTTACATTTTCGATGCCAATTGGTTGAAAATCTAGCTCAACAGTTTAATATGTCTCAATACGCAGTCAATATTGTGCGCCAATAAATTACACTTTTCTCATTAACTGCAGGATAATGCGTGGAGAACGTTTTGCTTGGAAACCTTTTATTAACGTTGAACATATTGAGCAAAAGAAAAAGTAGTGCCCCGTTTGTCGGAACGAAACTGAACGATACAGCTCACGTACAGCGGCCTAAACGGTTTAAACAAACAAAACATACAAAATAAAGACCGAGTAATCTTCACCAATGACTTTCACTTCCCTAATTATCACACTACCTTGTTTGTATGATGAATTACAAAGGCGACAATACTACACTTGCGAGCACAGTTACGATCCCAAGAAGTCTAAGGGGGAATCCCTCTGCTTAAATGAGCAATGGAGCAGCTCTCGTATCACAATGGTAGCCCTGAGCGAGTGGTGCAAATTCACGATCTAAAAAACCAGCCACTGTTGATTTCCCAAAATATCTTGAGACCATGGCTGGGAGTCGTTCCGATAACTAGGGCTTGAACTAGCAACATTTCTATTGTGTGAAAAAATAAACGGAAATACACATATTAGTTAAGCAATGTATCATATTTTATAGTGTCTTATTCCGAGACACTTCACAGAAATTATACAAGTTGACAGTGGTTGAGATAAGGAGTGGGGTTTTTAAAATTGGTGTAGCTATCGTGACAGGAGAACAGGCGTGAGGGGGTAGTGGTAAGGGTAGTGATAGGGGTTGGGGTAGTGATAGGGGTTGGGGTAGTGATAGGGGTTGGGGTAGTGATAGGGGTTGTGATAGGGGTTGGAGTAGTGATAGGGGTTGGGGTAGTGATAGGGGTTGTGGTAGTGGTAGTGATAGGGGTTGTGGTAGTGGTAGGGGTAGTGATAGGGGTTGGGGTCGTGGTAGGGGTCGTGGTAGTGGTAGTGATAGGGGTTGGGGTAGTGATAGGGGTTGGGGTAGTGGTAGGGGTAGTGATAGGGGTTGGGGTAGTGATAGGGGTTGGGGTAGTGATAGGGGTTGTGGTAGTGGTAGTGATAGGGGTTGGGGTCGTGGTAGGGGTCGTGGTAGTGATAGGGATTGGGGTAGTGATTGGGGTAGTGATAGGGGTTGGGGTCGTGGTCGGGGTAGACCTGGTCGTAGCTGGGGGGGGGGGGGGGGGGGGGAGCATTGAGTACTTATCAGTGGCAGGATGGGCTAGGGCAGTACCTCCAACAGTGTTGTGGGACAAGTGCTATTAGTGGGCACCTATGAAAGTTGCCACGACGCACAAGTTGGTGGGGGGATGGCCAACATCACGCACAGCGGTTCTTGTCTCCACAATGCGGATGTTTATGCACCGCACCCGGTAATGATTTCATGGCAAGTCGACCTAGGGGAGACCCAGGATCGATGAAAATGTTCGTCACTGTCGTCAGCAGGAATCAAAATCAGGTTGCCAAGTTTGTAGCGCAATGCGCTAACCACTGTCGCTCACCACAACTGCCTTCCACCCTCACGTCCGATAAGCACAGTTGCTTACGTACGGTGCGAAATAAGTTTAATATACGTACAACGTACACACAATCCATGTCAGATTGAAATGTAAAAAAATACATGCATTGAAGTGCATTTCCTTTGGTCTTAATAATATTCAGCTTGAGAGTTTATGCATTCTTGTGTTTTTAGTGTCAGTATATTTGTAACCTTTGAAAACTAAATCCTCATCAAATTACATTTCACATTGTGTCAAGGACAAGCACGCCACCTGAATTGTGTGAGATAGAGCGATCGAAAGCTATTATTTTCACACAAAAGCAAATGGTTGTGACAGGTGCACATCCATTACATTTGTGAATGACATTAAAATGTACTCTAAGGTTTTTTCCGGTAAAGTCACGTAGCTAAAAAATAAAAAAATTTGTACCTATGTGACTTTACCGCAAAAAACCTAAGAGTATGAATCCTTGCAGTCACGAAAGCTTCAAATCTAGAACATTAATATTAATTAAGACTCGATAGAAACAAAGATGGTCTTCATTAAGTAGAAATATTCAGGTGCTACAGCAGCCTTCTACATAATAAGTTGTATGCACACCAGTATATCAATTGTGCCTACTAAGCCAACGTATGATGCGATAACTCGCTCTTTACAGTCATTTGCCACAGATAACACGGCACAAATATTCTCTTAAAGCAAACACAAAGGTGAGGCTTAATTTGCAGCGGTGACAACGGTTAAAAATACGTCCATAACCTAATACAGTAAAACCTTGGATTGCGAGCATAATTCGTTCTGGAAACGTGTTTGTAATTCAAAGCACTCGTATATCAAAGCACTCGTATATCAGTTGTGATCACGTGACGCTCGGCAGACAAAGCGTATACACGTACTCCTCGTATTGCAAGACCTCGCTCGTTTATCAAATTCATATTTACTAAAAAAATTTGCTCGTCTTGCAAAACACTCACAGACCAAGTTGCTCGCAATCAAAGGTTTTACTCTAGTCCCACATAAAAGTTATCCCCCAAGAATATTGGCTCAATTCTAGGTGACCATGTGAGACCATTAACCACGAGATTTGAGAACCAAGTGCAATCAGAGGTGGTTGCCTGGATTTCAATCCAGGATCTCAGCAGTGCCGGTGGCTCATTGCTCTGGGTTGCTGCGGTGGCAGGATGTTAACTCCCTCGCCTGGTATGCATGTACTCCCCGTGGTCACGTGGATTTTTCTCCGGGTCCTCCGGTTTTTCCCTCCACATTTAGAAACAACAAGCGTTTAGAGTATTTGGCTGCTGTACATTTCCACATGATGAGCCACTTCGTTGAGCTATCATTTGTGGCCAGGTCACTTCTAACAAAGATATAAATAGCTTAGCGGGCCTTACGTGGTAAAAATAACAAATAGTAAAATGGCCATTGTGAACTCAATGAGCCACCAGCCGGTGATTTCAGAAAGCTGAAACACATCCCATATTTACACCATTGGAACCTCATTTGCCAGTAAAAAATATGATAATTGGTTTTTTACCCTTCAATCTGGCAACAAAACTGACACCTTTTTTACAAGGAGTCATGTTTGCATAGACCACAATACCTGCAGTCATAATGCAAACAAAAAACATAACTCTGATAATGTATGCACTGTCCTTGAAGTTGATTGGTCCACACCCGAAAGCTGTATCGGTACTGTGGTCTATGCAAACATGACTCCTTGTAAAAAAGGTATCAGTTTTGTTGCCAGATAGAAGGGTAAAAAAACAATGATCACATCCCGTATTATTTACAATATATTTGTCACACTCTGCAATACACATTTATGTTACGAATCCCTTGTTATCCACAACATCACAGCTACACAATGAGCACCGGCTCGATGATGGCCTTAAATAACATTGAAGAGTGCGTCGATCCATTGCTGTACTTTGTGTGTGCGTTTGCGTTTACTTTCGTCACCTTGGTGACCCAGGTCATCCTTGCAAATGACTTTTGAGTTTGCACCTCGTTAACGAAAATAAACTTGATGTTTTTTTAAAAACGACCATTTATTGTAGTAGTAGTAGTGAGCCTAACCTCAAAAAGACTATCTTTTACCAAAATATGTTCTGATATCTGATGTAAAAAATGTATTCTATTAAGAGTCTTTTACGGATTAACATTCTGAAACAGCAATTCCCTTACAATAACATGTTTTTTGTGCCTGATATGGAATACAAGTTTACAGATATGACACACAAAGATCGATCGGCTTGCTGCAAAACAAAAATAGATCAGCAAGCATAAATGTACGACAACAATTGTTAAAGCGTGCAGAACATCCTGAGAACAAATCATTCAAACCTACGTGACACGGAAAAAAGTGTTCTTCTCTTTAAACATTGACAACTTTAGAGAATGTGCAAAGATATATTCAGAAACACGAACAGCACACGATCAAACTCTCCACTCCAGGGACCGGGCCAACCATGGAGGGGAGAAGCCGATTGAAAATCTTTCGCAGTTTGTTTACATTGAGCTGCAGTTCTCTTTTCAAATTCTCTTCCAATGTCCCTCTAGAAGCTGTTAATCAGATCTTTGCACTTAAGGTCCTTCCACAACATCCAATAACTGTCAGACTGTGGGGAATCATGTCAATTTTCACCATATACAACTCTTGATCCTCTTCCGTAAATACAGAATAATTCCACTTCAGAGTAGTGAAGACAACATCGGTTGTGCTCAAGCGCACCGATCTACCAAACACACACACGCACGCAATACACACGCAAATATACCTTAAACTTGCACCGAAGCACACACTTCTTTTCGGGTAGGTTTTGCTCGCGAGCTCAACTCTAGATGTGTCATCGGCAGCGCCGACACGGAACCATGAGCGTTTCCGCACGTGTTGTGTGGAGGTAGAGACAATCACACAGGCGGCTTGACAGGCTTGTCTATCAGCGAGCTTCTCCCTTGCTCACGGGCAGGGATGGAATGGGGCTGTGTCAAGGCCCCGTGGTGTCTGTCTCTCAGTGGTGGTGTGCGTGGTGGCCACGTTGTGGGTTGCTGCCCGCCGGTTGCAGCTTCTCCGAGCTCTTGTCCTTGGTCTCCGTGTCGGACTCGGACGAGGCCTCTTGGGACTGCTTGCTCCACATGTCTGTGTAGATGCCCCCTTTGGTTAGAAGCTCATCGTGCCTGCGATGCACGAAGAATGGAAAGGGAGGCAGAACTTAATTAACAAGAATGAGAAGTGGCTTCGGCGGTACGTGTGGCATTGTATCGCCACAGCGGCCGGAGTGGCCGTGGACAATAGAAGGTTGCGTCGTTTGGCTCGTCAAGTTAAAAACCCTGCAGCGGTGTGCGACTGTGATCATCCAGGACAGTCCGTACAACACATAACGACGCAATGTCCCCAATCACAAATACGAAGGAGACATCACAGCGATGCACTCCGCTGCTCTCCGACACGATTATCTGGCTTGAGACAACCTGAATGCGAAATTGCAGTTGTTGCTTTGCAGAATTATGCTCCCGTCCACCATGAGCAGGCCAATTGCGAGAGAGCCTTACTAACTAGGCCCTGAGTGACCGTCCTTGTGGCAATAAGCAATACATGTCACGTACTGGCATTCCTTCATGGCAAGGCAATTACATTTTTGGAAGTTCTCCAAGTCAGGTCATGCCATCCTTGTACTGACACAATTAATAGTGTTAAACTGATAATGGTCCATTATCCAGGAAAGGCTTGGCGAGTTTAAATACTCTTATTTTATGAGGATCCTTGTTGGGCAGCACTGTTAGCAGAATTCTTGGCTCACAATCGGAAGGCAGCGAGTACAAATTCTGCTTATTGGTATCTAAATAAGTACCACTGTCTCGGAAGTTAAGTGTGGTTGTCCTACAGCGAGACTAGTTTATACCATAGGAACGTTTAATTTTTCACCACTGCCCCTACAATAACAATAAGTACCTCCCAACACTTCATTGAGCAGCAAAATCGGGTTTGAGTTGACTTTACAAACAGCAGGAATTCCAAATACTCACAGAAAACTGAACTATCCCTGGAAATTGTCCAGCATTATTTCAGTGAACAGGAATAATAATTTGGATAAGTACTACTTGGTTCTTTCGGTAAAGTTACGTGGATGAAAATAAAAATATTTTTTATATTATTTTCACCTACGTGACTTTACCAAAAGAACCAAAAAGTCTGGATCCTTGCAGTCCCGAAAACTTGAAATCTCGAAATATGGATAAGGTGAAGGTGCAGCCTTGCACCTTCACCATCACTAGAGGGGCCTCTATAGGGTATTTTGGCCTACTTCAGAATCAGAATCTTTATTTAGAATGGAGGAATCCCATGACCTATGGAGCTCTTTTTCACAGATGTCCAACAGGGGCGGGTCACAATTAACTTGAGAAACCTTTCTGCATCGGTCAGATGCCTTGGGATAGGTGGGCGTACCACACTTGACCTCACAATCTGCTACTCGACGAACTGTGGTGCATCCATTTAGACAACCAAGCCACTTACCTCCCTCGCTCCACAATCTGGCCGTCCTGCAGCACAAGTATCTGGTCTGCGTTGATGATGGTCGAGAGTCTGAACAGAAGCAAATGCAGGTCCGGCATTAATGTTCCATGTTTTATTGTGGTTAAGCCATCTGGGTGGAGCATCAACAGCGAGCCGGGGGCCTTGCGCTTGGATAGGATGAGAGTTCAAATCCCGGTTGGATTCAGACTCTGCCCTTAATTGCTCTGGGTTGAATAACATCAGTACCACCCTAAGGAGCAATCAACAATGATTGTCCGATTAAAATACATTTTCCTGTCATAGGAATGTGTAAACTAAGCGGGACCAATTTTAAACGCTGCCCTTTGTGTCTTGCCAGTGGCAGTTTTTCCAGTGAATGAGATGGCATAGGAGGCACCCTGGAGCACTGTGGCATCGACTGTGATCACCTGTGTATTCAAGTTGGCACAGTAGGGGGCACAGGTGGTGCATCAGCCAGTCATCTCGGTCATCTCAGTCAGTCGACCCGTGGCACCTGGGTCTGACCCGTGGCACCTGGGTCTGCCCCGTGACCTCCTGTCAGCGGGCGTTCGACACTTCACGTGGCCTCAAGGTGCACATGGCCTGGCACGAGTGTCGTGGTGACGTCACCGCCACTTAGTGGCGAATAGCGGTTGTTGTTGTTGTGTTCATGTGGTGGGGGAGTGGAAGGGCAGCGGTTAGTGCGCCACGCTACCAAACGAGCGACCCGGGTTCGATTCTTGCTCAACTGATCTTCGGCCTCCCCTAGGTCGACTCAGCCTCAACTGAATTCCTGGTGCGGTGTGTAAACATCGCTACTTGGGTTACAAAGGTGGTGGTGCTGGCCACTCACCCCCTCGTGTGCCGTGTCGGCCTTCATAGGTGCTCGCTAACCGCACTTGCCCCGACAGTCAGTTAAGGATATACGGGGGATCATTGTCTTTGTATTAACGTGGAATACATTTGTTTTTGTACTCGTGTGTGCACACGCGTGTGAGTTAGCACCCTGTCACCGACGGGCGACGCACACGCACCTGTGCGCTATCACCACGGAGGTTCTGTTGGCACAGATCTTCGCCAGAGAGGCCTGGATGTTCCGCTCCGTCTGTGTGTCGAGAGCGGACGTCGCCTGGAAAGACAAAGGGGTGCCGCGTTGACGTCACTGCGCCGCCGCCGTTCGATGCGCACGGCGACCAGAGAGGACGGCCATCGACTCGCAGCACGTGATGGTGCATCATTCACACCAAGGCCGGAGCCATGGAGTCAACATTGGGGGGGACCAAATCTTCCAGGGGGTCTCGGGGTGCACCCCCCCCCCCCCCAGATAAAAAATCTAAATTTGAAAACGAATTTCCTGCCATTTCCTGCCTAAAATAAATAAAAAATTCACTAACACATTGGATTGACTTTTTATTTTATTACAATAATGTCTAAGGTACTCATTTCAGGCTGAACCGACTTCGGAGAGGCCCAGGACCGGTTCAGATAATAGTCACTGGTGTTAGCCGTGAAGGGGAACCAAATTCGGGTCGCCGGGTTCCTAGCGCATCGCGCTAACCGTTGCACTGCCGCTCACCACACACACACACACACAGCCACAAGCCCAAGCATGCGTGGGCGGACACCCACACACACAGAGACAAGGACACAGCCAATCGTTGTGCTGCAGGGCGGCACCTCATCGAGCAGGATGAGTTCGGGGGCCTTGAGGATGGTGCGTGCGATGGCCACGCGCTGCTTCTCCCCACCGCTCAACTTGAGGCCGCGCTCTCCCGACCTGCGTGTCGTAGCCTGCGCAGGCACACGCACGCACACACGCACGCAAGGTTACGACGATTACAACGGTGACAATCATAATCAACAACGGTCGCACTCATTACACGCAAACTGCTTGCCACCAATAAACTACAATACCTTGCTGGTCTCGTCAAGGAGCATAAACCATCTGGCGAACTCCGGTCATCCTCGCAGCGGCTTTTGGCGAGCCATCGGACAAAGACGGTTACCGCATTGCGCATCAGATGTGCTTCTGTGGTCATCTGGAAAGCTCTTCCTTCCGATATCAGGAAGCCACTGGAGCTATGCACTTAAATCGAGATTGAAAACTCATTCCTTTAGAACTGATTTTTGTGTTTAGTTTGTTGTCCTTCCCCCGCACCTCCGATCAGCACCATTGGCTATGTATGGTGCGAAAGAAGTTTAACATACATACATACCTTCACTCACTCTCGGAGAGAGATGAATGACTCAGAGGCGCAAGGAGCCACAGAACAGCGGGAGAGACAGCCACGCGATAATCCAGCACTGACAATTACTGTGGTCCTCCATATATTAAGGTGTTATCAGCCAATTAATCAGGGTTTGCATGCTGGAGGAAAGTGGATCACCCGAAGAAAACCCAACGCATGCAAGGGAAAAACACTCTACCTCATACAGACAAAACAGGGGAGTCCACATTTGTTGTACTGCCCTCTCCCGGCAAGCCAGGGTAGAGCACCTTGACGCAGATGGGGAGTTTCGCGACATTCGTGCGGTGATCCACCAACCGCCGCTGCCTCCACCGTGCTGGATTAGAGGCGCGCGGCGACCACGCGACAACGACGACGACTTCTTATTTATTTATTCGCACAGCGCATCTCGGCGAGACTCGACACGCTTCGTCTCACCCTCCGGGAAGGAGAGGATGCGGTCGTGAATGTCCGCGGCCCTCGCCGCCTCCTCCACCTCCTCGTCGCTCGCCGTCACGCGGCCGTAGCGGATGTTGTTGCGGATCGTGTCATTGAAGAGCACAGTGTCCTGCGGCACCACCCCGATGTGCTGCCGCAGAGACTTCTGCTTCACCTGGACGAGGCGCGCGGCGTTCAAAACGTGGACAGCACGGTCACCCTCGGCGCTGTTGATCACAATCCTTGACTCTCTCTCTCTCTCACAACCACCGATTCCCCTCACCTCGCTCTACTCCCCTTCGCATTCACAAGGCAGCAGCAGTGGCCAAGTAAACAATAAAAAACTAATTTGACCAGGTAAGACCCACGGAACTACGTATCTCTTTTTCTGAAGCGACATGGCCACAAATGATAGCTCAACGAAGTGGCTCATCGTGTCACATCTAGAAACGCATATTTCTAAATGTTAAGGGAAAAGCCAGGACCCGGAAAAAAATCCACGCGACCACGGGGAGAGAGAGAGACACATAAACTACAAATATACAGCAGCAGGCGTCAGGGTCAGAATCGAACCCACACCCTCCAGTATACCAGGCGAAGTAGTTAACATCTCGTCATGTCCTTGTTATGAAATCCGAAGACAACTTCTGCTCAATGGGAGCTCACTCCTCCTATGCTGCTCCCGCCATCGCTCTGTTCAGGTGCAGGCTCAAGACATTCCTATTTCCCTCTCTCCATTTGACTAAATAACCTCTTCCCATTACACCCCTCACCTTTTCCCCTCCGCTCCCTAATCATAAACATAGAGGCATGGTTACATGTTTATGCTAATCCACATTGCATTAAATGTGGATTGCATTCAGTCACCGATCGGAAACTTACACAGAGGCGGCTGTGGGCATAATGCGGCTAAAATATGTTTACTAATGCACAGAGGTTCTTAACGTTACCCAGAATATCAGCACTTTGGGACAGTGTATTCATCGAAAGGTGTTTCATGAGTGAACCTGGTCGCGGCTGACAATGATGATCACAGTGAAAATGTAAGGTGTATTCCTGTTCAATTGAACATGCTGTGCAGCTCAGAGTACTAGGTACTAGGTACCCTGAGCTGATGGTAAATATTCCACATTCCTATGGCAGAGAACAACTACTTCCGACTTTTTACAAATTGGCACACATATCATTGACCCCACAGGGACAATGGTGGGCTGAGTCAACTGCAACCGATATTTCAACTGGCAACCTCACTCCATCTGTGAGTTGAGCAACCTAACAGCAGCACAACTCAGCCAGCTATACTTTCATTGATAGCACTGACCAATTAGCACGATGGGAGTGCCACCCAGAGGTTGGAGACCAAAGACCTGAATCCACATGGGGATGGGGCGGAATTACTGTAACAGCAGACCTTGCAGGTCAAATGTCAACTTTGAAACAGCTGAGTGATTTGGAAAAAGGAAGTGGTAGCGAAGCATGGGGGCATGAACAGCATTGGCCGTTGTGACATCTTGAGGTTGACTCTACAAACCTTGGAGATGTCTTGACCATCAATGCTGATGCATCCAGATGTGACGTCGTAGAACCGAAATAGCAGACGCATGACTGTGCTCTTCCCCGCACCCGATGGACCAACCTGCAGCACAAGATCCATTATGAAGCCAGGTCAGTGCACAGACAGAATCGTCGTGGAACGGAGCAACCTAATTACATTGCAGCAAAGGAGTTCACCGTCCTGCTACATTCATCTGCGGGTTAAAGTTCCTTCTGCAATACACCCAGCCATCAGATTTACCATGCAAGTCGAAAAAGATGGCAAGCTACCTTTTTTAGATGTCCTAATACAAAAGAGACCTGATGGTTCAATGAGCCACTCTGTCTACAGGAAAGCTACCCATACGGATGCTTACCTGAAACCGGATTCCCACCACCATCCATCCCAGAAGAATTCACTCATCAAGACTCTGCACCATGGAGCCCAATGCATCTCAGACCAGGAATACATTGCCAGTGAACTCAAGCACGTACACCAAGCTCTTAAGGCTAATGATTACTCCGACTACACAATCCGCAAAGCGATCACACCAACCATGAAGAAGGACCCTCCTGAGGAGCCATTCAAAACCATCACCTTACCCTACATTGCGGGGATCACAAAAAAGATCTACAAAATCTTGAATAAACACAAGATCCAGGTCCGATTCAACACAGTACATAAAATCTGTGATCTGGTTCCGTCTGTAAAAGATGTGATTCCGGACATACAGTACCCTGGCGTTTACAAACTGAGTTGCCTCTGTGGTAGCAGTTACATTGGGGAAACCCAACGACATGTCTCGGACCGCATCCGTGAGCACAAAGCAGACCTGAAAAACGGTAGGACCAACACCTCGGCCGTGGCAGATCACTGTTATAATTCAGTGGGCTCACATGACATTGATTTCTCCAAGACGGAGGTTCTCTGCAAGCCATCTGGCTACCATGAGAGATTTGTTCATGAGGCTATCCACATATACAAACACAGAGACAATTTCAACCGAGAAGATGGATTCTGGCTCAGCAATTATTGGAAGGATTTGATAAACCATTTCGGGTCTTAATTGATTGTGTTCAAGCTTACGGTGACTTTCAGACCGCATTCCATTTTCTGCTCCCCCCTCCTCTTTTCCATGCTGCTGACGTCAGGACAAACCGCCACTTTTCCTAATTTTCTTGCTGTCGATTTCACACCTGATGATTTCTTGTGTTGCATTCGAAACGTCGTGAGAATTTTTATTGTTTTATATTTTTATTATTTTATTACTTCCCTTCTACGTGACGTTACCGAAAGAACAAAGAAAAAAGAGGCAAAGTTAAGTTTTTTTTTTACCTTTGACTCGATAATTTGGCCCATCGGCCTCAATGCTGCTTATCTACTATACCACGTGAGACCTAATTCAAAATCACAGCAAATAGATGCATGCCATTGGAGGAATCTCCCTCCGAGTAATTCAATTATCGTTGAATTTCGACGGCATATGCACTAGTTAAAATGAAATAAAAAACAAATCCTAGAGTACACTTACCAGAGCGATGGTTTTTCCTGAAGGCACAGTAAATGATACATTCTTCAGGATGTCCCTCCTGGTTCAGTGTGTGCAGAGGAGTGAAAAGGCCAGACATTTGAGAATGGAGGGACGTGAGAACATTTCATAAGAACAAATGTCGAAATGTACAAAATAGTCTCATAAATGACAAGCAATTAGAAAAGATATGTTTATTCCTTATTACTTTATATTCCAACTGTGTTGTTGGTGTTATTAAAATGTAACGTTATTTGGTGATACTGTGTTGGCAGTGGTGCACACGCACAAATAACAAAATAATACAATAATCGTCAATAACACTGTGGCCTAAAAATAAAATATATATTATACAGTCTTTCTGCTTTGCAAAACTGTGTTCATCACATTTCAACCAAATGGAATTTGCGGTCATGAAACTCTGAAGAAGCTAAATTAGGTGAAAAAATTAACCCGTAAAAACAAAGTTTTTCACTATAAATCCTTTATATGCGTGGCGGCTAATCCTTTATATGCGTGGCGGCTAATCAACTCGCAACAACTTGAGAACCAGGTTAACGAACGGCTGACCAGATCCAAACCCAAGATCTCAACGGTAACGTCTTGCGGTGCTCCGACTTAAGCGAACAAGAGGTGACGCTGCCCAACATTTCGCTGGGCCGTGCAGACACATGGGCTTGACTTGCGAGCGAGCTGTGAAGAAAGAAGAATTACCCGTTCACGTAGTTGAAAGAGACGTTGTCGAATTCCACGTTGCCATGGGAGAGATGCAGACTCACCGCGTTGACATCGTCCACCACCTACAGAGCCAAATAGTTCCACGCATATTACAGACAAGTGAATCAGTGTTACCTGCATAGCCAATAATGCACTCTGATTACTAATCGAGTATATAATTACAATAACCCCCCCCTCCGCCTAAAATCGTTGCACCTGATGAGTTAAATGATGCCGTCACCCTGCTGCTGCTCTATTTAAGACCGGGAGCAAGAGCAGAGCCTCACCATTCTGGCAAATTGCCCGATGATGCTGGATGCAATTACCAGCGAAACGTCGTACTCAAAAATTGTAAATGTTGTGGTTTCACGCTTCAACACACCGGTGGGCTAAAGCAGTGAACTATTTGTCTTTTTGTCAACGTGACACTTTTTTTGCCGATTGGCCGTGTCGGGTGGTGGAGGGTTACGACACATTTTTAAATAACGTGATCTAACCCAAAAACGTCGATTATGAATGCACTCTTAATGACTGAATACTGTAGAGGAGCCGTTCCCATCTTGTTGTTTGGCGGACCCCTGGTGGTCCACGAGGTTACTACAGGGAGGTCCGTGGAAAATCAAAAAAATAATAACATCGTCACAGGAAAGGTACAATTTCAAGTAACTCGTAGCGTGTGGTGGTCCACCAAATGATTGGAGGTTGAAAAGGAGTCCGTACACTCGAGAAGGTTGGGAACCGCTGATCTAGAACGATAATTATATGCAGGAAGCCCTTTATTCGGTTTATTTGTTACATCTTATTTTAAAACGATATTTCGCCTAGAAAACTCCCTCGAGATAGAATATCTTGTCCGTACGGATGTCCTGTGCATATTTTATTCAAATTGTGTGCTTTCTTTCTTGTTTAGTATACACATTGAACTTCGCTGTGTATAATTATTTAATGTACGATTGTATGTTGATCTCCTTTCGCACCATACTTAGCCAACCGTGCTAACCCGAGGTGTGAATTTAAGTCAATGTTAAAGAATGTTAACGGTTATGATTCCCTGTAGTCTTCATCAGAGCTGGTTTTAAAATGTTTCAAACAGTGTTATTTTCTGCACTCTTTTTCACTTCATACATTGGAATGTAACATTGTGTTCTACCTTGTTTAAACGCAGGCCTAGCTAACAAGACTCCCGGGGGTCTCACCGACCTCTCAGCTGCTTAAACACGAAGGTCGTCTATCGCTCTTTCTCTCTCACAGAGTCGCGACAGCCATGGAAAGTGACGAGTCACTCACCTCTTTCTCCTCGCCAAACAGCTCAAACATGTTCTCCATGTCGATAAAGGAGCTCTGGATCATCCTGAGAGAGATGGGCGTGATTGACAACATCAGCGCCTTTCGCTTTTAATTATAACAATAATTTCAACTTGTAACGGCGCTGCACAGTAGTATTTGCTCGCTCGATCTCCGAGAGAATGAACGACTCGGAGGCGCAAGGAGGAGCCAGATGATGAACCGGTGCCCATTTCCCCCTGCCAAGCTCTGTGATCCTCTATATATTAAGGTCTTCTTGGCCAATTAATGCGCGTACATATTTGTGGGAGGAAAGTGGAGCACCCGGAGAAGACCCACGCGTGCGAGGGGGCAACACTCTATCCGATGCAGATGGAACAGATGGAGCCCACGTTTGCTCTACCGCCTTCTCCTGGCAAGCCAGGGTATAGCTCTTCAACTCCCACGGAAAGGCAGTTTCACGACATTTGTGCGATCCACCAACCCTTGCCTCCACGGTGCTGGATTGCAGGCGTGCACCACGACCGCCCAGCAATAACACCATAGATGCCCTAATTGTCGGTGTCAATCACATTAAAAATGTACACTGACATTCTGCACGACGAAGCTCAATTACCATTGTGTTCTGTATGTATGGGTGTGCGTCAAACTAGAAACCAATTCAAATGAATAGGGTCCTTGCTTTTAAACATCCGACAGTTCAGCAGCATTGGTTTAAGCAAGCCTGACTCTGCTGATGAGACAATGAATAGCGAAGCCAGTTCTTGAGTGTGCTGCAGCATAGATGCACTCCAGGAAGAATGTGTGACTGATGGGATGTGTTAAAAAAAATAACGAGGAGAGACAAATATGGGCTGGAGGCATTATGTCTGCTTATTTATTGTGTGCCGTGAAATAATTAAATGATCAAAAACACACACACATTGCAATTACAAGACCTGTTCTGCCACTATGCAGGTTTTCCTGATGGGGATTCTCAGTGACGGCATGCAATATTCAAATGTAATCAGGCCCGAGGGTGCTGGGCACAAGGCAGCCTCACCTGTAATACGTTCCGAACCAGTTAAGAGGCACGTAGAGCTGAATGATGTACGTTCCAAACAGCACAAAGTCGCCCACCTGGAATGAGATGTGTACAATGACATTTGGCTTTGTATCTACGTATGTACGTTGAACTTATTTCGCAGCGTACTTAGCCAACCGTGATAATCGGAGATGCAGGGGAAGGACAACAAACTAAACACAAAAAGCAGTTCTAACGAAATGAGTTTTCAATCAGGACCCACAGGACCAATTACGAAACAGCACAGGAAAATTGCTTCTCTTGAATACGGTTATAATCAGATTGCGCAATGAACGATATGCAAAAGCGGAGTTAGGAATTCTCTTATGAGTCCAGCCCATCGTGAAATCGAGGCTACTGGACTAATCTTTTTGGAGTGGTCCCTTTTGATGAGGTATGCTGCAGAGAAAAATGCATTTGCTGTTGTGTAACTCTGATGTAATTACATCTTATTATAATCAGACATCTGTGTGTTCTGCAGGCCACGCTCTGCCTTGATGGAGGTAAACATGTTTCTAGATGTATTTTCTGTCCAGTGTTTTTTTATGGACTTTGCATCTTATATATATACACAAAGAACATCGTGTATACTTTATTGCACATGGCAATGTAATAAAATGTCCTGTCAAGCATAAAATTCATCCACTGCATTGCTGCTCAAACCTTAGGAAAATCCCGAAGATTAAGCCCGGCCCTAGCTCAAGACTTAAAATGAATCCTGACATTAACAATGGAGTAATGACAGGTGAAGTCTATCCCTGGCCAGGAATTTAAGTCTCAACCTTTGAATGCTATGGACCCCCGAGTATTTAGATGCTATATTAACTTTCCTTATTATGACTATTACCACTATAACCCTAATTATAATGCAAGCTTCAATTCTAGCCATTAGGGCTGCACTGATGCCAGCCCTAATGGGACACTCTAAGCCCCAGCAAAATTCCAAAGTTCTATTCCATAACCCTGATGCCACAACCTTTGCTATAATAATATTAATGAACATAGTCTTGGCTCATCGCACCTCCGATTAGCACGGTTGGCTACGTACGGTGCGAAAGAGATTCAACATACTAACATACGTGCATACATGCTAAGAATATAGACTTAACCAGAACCAAACCAAAACAATAGCTCAAACTCCAACTTCACCCCAACCCAGGCCCGGTGACATGTCCAAGCAGTACCGTGTTTGCCGCAGAGCTTTGCAGTTCAAACCCGACAGGCCGCGTTGGTTACTTATTCAGGTGTAGTAACCTTACATCACGTATTCAGGTGTAGTAACCTTACATCACGTATTCAGGTGTAGTAACCTTACATTACGTATTCAGGTGTAGTAACCTTACATCACGTATTCAGGTGTAGTAACCTTACATTACGTTTTCAGGTGTAGTAACCTTACATCACGTATTCAGGTGTAGTAACCTTACATCACGTATTCAGGTGTAGTAACCTTACATCACGTTTTCAGGTGTAGTAACCTTACATCACGTATTCAGGTGTAGTAACCTTACATCACGTATTCAGGTGTAGTAACCTTACATCACGTATTCAGGTGTAGTAACCTTACATTACGTTTTCAGGTGTAGTAACCTTACATCACGTATTCAGGTGTAGTAACCTTACATTACGTATGCAGGTGTAGTAACCTTACATTACGTATGCAGGTGTAGTAACCTTACATCACGTATTCAGGTGTAGTAACCTTACATCACGTATTCAGGTGTAGTAACCTTACATTACGTTTTCAGGTGTAGTAACCTTACATCACGTATTCAGGTGTAGTAACCTTACATCACGTATTCAGGTGTAGTAACCTTACATCACGTTTTCAGGTGTAGTAACCTTACATCACGTATTCAGGTGTAGTAACCTTACATTACGTATTCAGGTGTAGTAACCTTACATCACGTATTCAGGTGTAGTAACCTTACATTACGTTTTCAGGTGTAGTAACCTTACATCACGTATTCAGGTGTAGTAACCTTACATCACGTATTCAGGTGTAGTAACCTTACATCACGTTTTCAGGTGTAGTAACCTTACATCACGTATTCAGGTGTAGTAACCTTACATCACGTATTCAGGTGTAGTAACCTTACATCACGTATTCAGGTGTAGTAACCTTACATCACGTTTTCAGGTGTAGTAACCTTACATCACGTATGCAGGTGTAGTAACCTTACATCACGTATGCAGGTGTAGTAACCTTACATCACGTTTTCAGGTGTAGTAACCTTACATTACGTTTTCAGGTGTAGTAACCTTACATCACGTATTCAGGTGTAGTAACCTTACATCACGTATTCAGGTGTAGTAACCTTACATCACGTATTCAGGTGTAGTAACCTTACATCACGTTTTCAGGTGTAGTAACCTTACATCACGTATGCAGGTGTAGTAACCTTACATCACGTATGCAGGTGTAGTAACCTTACATCACGTAGTCAGGTGTAGTAACCTTACATCACGTATTCAGGTGTAGTAACCTTACATTACGTTTTCAGGTGTAGTAACCTTACATCACGTATTCAGGTGTAGTAACCTTACATCACGTATGCAGGTGTAGTAACCTTACATCACGTATTCAGGTGTAGTAACCTTACATCACGTATTCAGGTGTAGTAACCTTACATCACGTATTCAGGTGTAGTAACCTTACATCACGTATTCAGGTGTAGTAACCTTACATCACGTATGCAGGTGTAGTAACCTTACATCACGTATGCAGGTGTAGTAACCTTACATCACGTATTCAGGTGTAGTAACCTTACATTACACGCAGTTTTCTTCACAGTGGACGTGAAAGATCCCCTGATGTAATTGGAAATGAGTAGGAAATTGTGCACTGGCGGACACGTCCAAATTTGCAAATGAATTTCCTCAATTGAGATTACACGTAGCAACATTGCCCCCTAAAGTCAAAATAAAGTTTCGTACCTTGGTAAAAACTAGTTTATCTAGTCCACTGCTGCAATGTTATGAACTAAGAAAAACTACTGCAGGCTGCCGGTCAAACCCAGCACTTTTGTGATAGCCTTGCACTATAACAATGGTGCCAGGCTATCATGCATACCAAATGTAATCAATCATTACTATCTATAGATATAAACACGAGCTCATGCCCTTGACTTAACAACTAAGCCTATCTTCTTGGTTCTTTCGGTAAAGTCACGTAGAATGAAAATAATAAAATAATAAAAATAAAACATAATAAAATAATTCTCACGACGTTTCGGCCACAACGCAAGCAGCCGTCCTCAAGTGAAGAACAGGTCTGTCGAGACGACAGAGTCTTCTCGACAGACCTGTTTAATTTTTATTATTTTTATTATCTCCATTCTACGTGACTTTACCGAAAGAACCAAGAAGATGAATCCCTGCAGTCACGAAAGCTAACCATAACCCCTTAACCGTGACCTCGACCACCCCCGGAGGAGGGCTTCAAATCTGCGCTCACCTGTAGCTTCTTGTTGGTAACGAAGTTGGCGCTGAGCAGGGAGCCGGCCAATAGGCCCAGGGCGATCACCACGTTCTGCGCTTGATTGAGCACGGCCAGAGAAGCGTTGGTCTTCCACTCGGCATCCTTCCCAGCATCACCGAGAAAAAGACAAATATCCCCGTATAGTCTTAACAGACTGTGGGTGCAAGTGCTGTTAGCGAGCACCTATGAAGGCCGGCACAGCACACGAAGGGAGTGGGCGGCTAGCACCACGCCCGGCCGCTTTTGTCTCCCCAGTGGCGATGCTTACACTCGGCACCGGGTGCTCATTTGAGGCCGAGTCGACCTAGGAGATGCCCAGGACCGGTTCAGATAATCGTATTGGGCGTGAGCGGGAATCGAACGAGTCGTCAGGTTCATAGCACAGCGTGGTAACCGCTACACTACCACGTCCCCAGATCGACACAGACACACATTCACACATTGCGTATTTCAGCAAGAAAACACTTTCACTTAGCGAATGTAAATATAAACATATAAAAGAGTTATATTTTGTCATCTCCTTCCAGGAAGTGTACGCGTTTTTGTCTGTTGTTATGATGATGATTATTGTTGTTGTTACCACTACAAGAATGAAAAGGATATTTCATAAAGTGACACGCAGTCCACCTATGGCCAAATAATGTGATCATTTCAACTGGTAACGCACCACCGTCGCACTGTATTCGCTCGCTCTCTAACAGAGAGAGCGACTCAGCGGCGCGAAGAAGGAACCACAGACAAGTGGGGAAGGCAGCAGCAGCAGCCAGGTGGTGAGCTGATGCCAATTCCCCCCCGCCTCACCCAAGCTCTGTAATCCTCTATATATGTTAAGGTGTTATTGGCCAATTACCAAGAATGTGCCCGATCTCGTTAGATTTAGGAAGCTATGCAGGGTGGAGCTTGCATAGTACATGGTTGGCCAAGCACAACAATAAGATTGTTTTAGGCTGCAGGGCTATGCGGTGGGCAGAAAAAATAAATCAATTGCGCTGCTGTGCTTCCACGATCAACGAAAATACGCCCCGGCCTTCACAAACCCATAATGGCCGCAGTAAAGTGTGGTAAAATAACCCGCACATGCCGCATGGCGTGGGGGAGGCCCTCGTCCGGTGACATGTTCATGACGTGCAGTGTAGTAGGCGTGGCTTTAAGGTGCCTACGCACCTGATATTCCACAATGGTCTGGTTGAATCGTTGTACTTCATAGCTCTCAGCATTGTAATATTTCACCTGCAAGAAAAAATACGACACTTCAGGTCAATGCCATTTTGTTCAACCTTTTTTTTTATTCCTCCAAGTTGGCGTTTTTTTTAAGTTAAAAGAGTTGTGAACAACTTTGTAAGATGAAGAAAAATCAAGGTAACACTAATCGTACTTCTGTATTTTTGTTCGAATGGTCACATACTTCCACATCGGATAATTGTGGGAGTAAATAAAACGAGTTTAATAACAAAAGTTAGTCATGTAATTAATACAATAATTTTATTTGCAACAATTTAATGCGTATAAAACATTTGCAATATCAATAGGATGGGCTGGTACCAAACTGTTTAACAATAATGTCCTTCATTTAAAACATCCTTATCGTGCCTTGAGACTTTTTTTGGACGATCGTGCATTGAGATATTTTACCAGCTCTTTTATAGTGACATTTCAAGCAGAAGTATCCAAAGAAAGCGCACATAGAGGTCATGAACCCTACTTGCTGACCAACTCCTAACCAAATCGCAGCCCCAGCAAGGAGGCCAGGAAATGGGAGCCTCACGCACATGATCATTGCTGCGTATTTCCACGAACGCTGTAATAAGCATTTGCCACCAAGCATAGATGACAGCCACTGGGTGTAGGGATTGTCTGAAGACCCAGAAGATGTTTAGAGATACATCTCAGAGACACGCATTTTTTTTATATAATGGTAATTTGGAGTCTGACGTTTTTTTCCTTCAACAAGGCAACACTAAATATTGATTATGCTGACGACTGAATCTTTAATACACAGTAGCACTCACGGACACAAGTAGGCTCAGTACGGAGTTGGCAGGCAGTAGTAGCCAGTAGCTGTGTAGATTTAATATTGCACGCAAAACTCCTCTTACCTACGACAAAGTGGGGGGGGAGGGCGAACTTCACCAATCAAATCTCCAATCTTCCCAATAACCACCACTAGGAGGAGTCCCCCAACTTCCAGAGTGGCTGCGCCCTTGGTAGCTAAAGCTGCCACCTGCACCCGATTGACAGCGGAGGTCCCTGCAGGGCGCGGTGGGCCCTGTTTAACACCCTAGTGTGGTCATCTGGGTCAGACAGCGCGTTGACAATTTCTTCTCTCACAGGCTTTTGCTACGTGCTATACTGCAGGCATCTTCGCTCTACAATTCGGCCTAACCCCTACAAGACCACGCGTGGATTACGAGCGGCTGCGATAACTTTATTGCGCTAGAATTGCGCATTACCGTCTCGAAGTTGAGCAGCGAGTCCACGGCCTTGGACTTGGATAGGTTATCTTTGGTGTTCATCTCACGCCGGTACTTTGTCCTCCACTCGGTGATCGCGATCGTGATGCCTGGAGGGCCAATCGTCATTGTTGTCAGCAGCGTCGTCACCATTATTTTGGTCACAGTCATCGGCAAACACGCTTCACAATCATTCACGAGCCGGGCGACAGTCCATTGAAAGAAAAGCTTCAGGCAAATTGACAAGTGGCTTGAAACCTTCATCATCAGTGCTGTTATTCACGATCGCTCATCGCAGCACCAATCTCCTTTGATACTGCATTGGCAGTGGTGCACAAACACAAATAACAAAAACCCAACAATAAAACTTACCAAAAATAGGAATAATCTCCATATATATAAAAGGCAAAGTTGTGATTGTGTGTGTCTGTTCAAAATGTCTAGCGTACTTCCCGACATGCAACAAACTTGAAATTTGCCATGTGAGTACTTTCCAGACTGTACACCATGCAAAAATAAAAAAATACACTTTTTTTGGGTGGGGGGGGGAGCTCAATAATGCATATAGTTTTTGCACGGCAAGTGAGCTGTGACGTCAAATCTGTCACGTGACCCGCGCATGTGGAAGCGTAACGAATTGTAGTGTAGTGGTTAGCGCGCCGTGCTACGAACCCGGCGACCCGAGTTCGATTCCCGCTCACGGCCACCACCGGTGACGATTATTTGAACTGGTCCTGGGCCTCCCCTAGGTCGACTCAGTCTCAAACGAGTAATTGGTGTGGTGTGTGAACTTCGCCACTGGGGAAATAAAGGCGGCCGGGCGTGGTGAATCCAAGTCCCGGGCGAAGCTGGGTAGTAAAGCTAGTCATCTCTTAACAGAAGAAATTTGGGGCAATGTCCTTCCTTCAGAGCAAGGGCCATTTCCCAAAACTTCACCATTTTATTTTTATTTCCCTTCCGGGTCAGTGTTGTCGACAAACGTAATGAGTGTTTGTGACTTGAGAGCAAGCGAGGGAGGGCCCCACCTCAGACCCTTTCAAAAGGGACTCGGATCAGAGTAAATACATCGGCACGAAACAACAGGATCAAGTGCAACGGACGTAAATGCCGCAAACAGCTCCTGGGGTGCAACCACCAATTAGTCGCTCTCTCGCAGGCCGTCGCCAAACTAATTACTCTTCTACTGCCAGTACCGTGGTTACAGTTCCCCTCTGAGCTTCACTCATTGAGGTTGTCCACCGATGGTCGAGCACTCTACCACACCGACCGTTTCATCCAATCCACACCGGGTTCACACAACGTGCTGCAGGTCACAAAGAGTCTCTTATCCTTCTGCCCGCGCACCGCTTTACACCATGGAATTCCCCCTCCCATCATCTCTTTTCTTCAAGCTCTAATAACTTCGCTCAATTCTTATCGATCATAACTGTGATAGTGCTGGCTGTTGCTGGGCACACGACGTGTTGGGCCTTAGCCTTGTGCTCAGAATTGTGTTAACATAAATCAATAAAAACCATTGTAAAAGGACTAAGTAGAACCCGGACTTGGCATTTGAATCAATTCATAACCTTCTACTGCTCGGCCATTATAAGACATTGTTCACAGTGGTGATAGCGAGGGTGTTGGGTCTGTGTTAATTGTGGTGGTGGTCAGGCCTATCGTGAGGTCTTGTGTCTGTGTTAATGATGGTAGTGGTGAGGCCTGGGGTATGTGTTAATGATGGTAGTGGTGAGGCCTTGTGTCTGTGTTAATGATGGTAGTGGTGAGGCCTGGGGTATGTGTTAATGATGGTAGTGGTGAGGTCTTGTGTCTGTGTCAATGATGGTGGTGGTGAGGCCTGGGGTATGTGTTAATGATGGTAGTGGTGAGGTCTTGTGTCTGTGTCAATGATGGTGGTGGTGAGGCCTTGTGTCTGTGTTAATGATGGTAGTGGTGAGGCCTTGTGTCTGTGTCAATGATGGTGGTGGTGAGGCCTTGTGTCTGTGTTAATGATGGTAGTGGTGAGGCCTTGTGTCTGTGTCAATGATGGTGGTGGTGAGGCCTGGGGTATGTGTTAATGATGGTAGTGGTGAGGCCTTGTGTCTGTGTCAATGATGGTAGTGGTGAGGCCTGGGGTATGTGTTAATGATGGTAGTGGTGAGGTCTTGTGTCTGTGTCAATGATAGTGGTGGTGAGGCCTTGTGTCTGTGTTAATGATGGTAGTGGTGAGGCCTTGTGTCTGTGTCAATGATGGTGGTGGTGAGGCCTGGGGTATGTGTTAATGATGGTAGTGGTGAGGCCTTGTGTCTGTGTCAATGATGGTAGTGGTGAGGCCTGGGGTATGTGTTAATGATGGTAGTGGTGAGGTCTGTGTCTGTGTCAATGATGGTGGTGGTGAGGCCTGGGGTATGTGTTAATGATGGTAGTGGTGAGGCCTTGTGTCTGTGTCAATGATGGTAGTGGTGAGGCCTTGTGTCTGTGTTAATGATGGTGGTGGTGAGGCCTTGTGTCTGTGTCAATGATGGTAGTGGTGAGGCCTTGTGTCTGTGTTAATGATGGTAGTGGTGAGGCCTTGTGTCTGTGTCAATGATGGTGGTGGTGAGGCCTTGTGTCTGTGTCAATGATGGTAGTGGTGAGGCCTTGTGTCTGTGTTAATGATGGTAGTGGTGAGGCCTGGGGTATGTGTTAATGATGGTAGTGGTGAGGTCTGTGTCAATGATGGTGGTGGTGAGGCCTTGTGTCTGTGTTAATGATGGTAGTGGTGAGGCCTTGTGTCTGTGTTAATGATGGTAGTGGTGAGGCCTGGGGTATGTGTTAATGATGGTAGTGGTGAGGTCTTGTGTCTGTGTTAATGATGGTAGTGGTGAGGCCTGGGGTATGTGTTAATGATGGTAGTGGTGAGGCCTGGGGTATGTGTTAATGATGGTAGTGGTGAGGTCTTGTGTCTGTGTTAATGATGGTAGTGGTGAGGCCTGGGGTATGTGTTAATGATGGTAGTGGTGAGGCCTGGGGTATGTGTTAATGATGGTAGTGGTGAGGCCTGGGGTATGTGTTAATGATGGTAGTGGTGAGGCCTGGGGTATGTGTTAATGATGGTAGTGGTGAGGCCTGGGGTATGTGTTAATGATGGTAGTGGTGAGGCCTGGGGTATGTGTTAATGATGGTAGTGGTGAGGTCTGTGTCAATGATGGTGGTGGTGAGGCCTGGGGTATGTGTTAATGATGGTAGTGGTGAGGCCTTGTGTCTGTGTTAATGATGGTAGTGGTGAGGCCTTGTGTCTGTGTTAATGATGGTAGTGGTGAGGCCTTGTGTATGTGTTAATGATGGTAGTGGTGAGGTCTGTGTCGATGATGGTGGTGGTGAGGCCTTGTGTCTGTGTTAATGATGGTAGTGGTGAGGCCTTGTGTCTGTGTTAATGATGGTAGTGGTGAGGCCTGGGGTATGTGTTAATGATGGTAGTGGTGAGGTCTTTGTCAATGATGGTGGTGGTGAGGCCTTGTGTCTGTGTTAATGATGGTAGTGGTGAGGCCTGGGGTATGTGTTAATGATGGTAGTGGTGAGGTCTGTGTCAATGATGGTGGTGGTGAGGCCTTGTGTCTGTGTTAATGATGGTAGTGGTGAGGCCTGGGGTATGTGTTAATGATGGTAGTGGTGAGGTCTGTGTCAATGATGGTGGTGGTGAGGCCTTGTGTCTGTGTTAATGATGGTAGTGGTGAGGCCTTGTGTCTGTGTTAATGATGGTAGTGGTGAGGTCTGTGTCAATGATGGTGGTGGTGAGGCCTTGTGTCTGTGTTAATGATGGTAGTGGTGAGGCCTTGTGTCTGTGTTAATTATGGTAGTGGTGAGGCCTGGGGTATGTGTTAATGATGGTAGTGGTGAGGTCTGTGTCAATGATGGTGGTGGTGAGGCCTTGTGTCTGTGTTAATGATGGTAGTGGTGAGGCCTTGTGTCTGTGTTAATGATGGTAGTGGTGAGGCCTGGGGTATGTGTTAATGATGGTAGTGGTGAGGTCTGTGTCAATGATGGTGGTGGTGAGGCCTTGTGTCTGTGTTAATGATGGTAGTGGTGAGGCCTTGTGTCTGTGTTAATGATGGTAGTGGTGAGGTCTGTGTCAATGATGGTGGTGGTGAGGCCTTGTGTCTGTGTTAATGATGGTAGTGGTGAGGCCTTGTGTCTGTGTTAATGATGGTAGTAGTGAGGCCTTGTGTCTGTGTTAATGATGGTAGTGGTGAGGTCTGTGTCAATGATGGTGGTGGTGAGGCCTTGTGTCTGTGTTAATGATGGTAGTGGTGAGGCTTGTGTCTGTGTTAATGATGGTAGTGGTGAGGTCTGTGTCAATGATGGTGGTGGTGAGGTCTTGTGTCTGTGTTAATGATGGTAGTGGTGAGGCCTGGGGTATGTGTTAATGATGGTAGTGGTGAGGTCTTGTGTCTGTGTTAATGATGGTAGTGGTGAGGTCTTGTGTCTGTGTTAATGATGGTAGTGGTGAGGCCTGGGGTATGTGTTAATGATGGTAGTGGTGAGGTCTTGTGTCTGTGTTAATGATGGTGGTGGTGAGGCCTGGGGTATGTGTTAATGATGGTAGTGGTGAGGCCTTGTGTCTGTGTTAATGATGGTGGTGGTGAGGCCTGGGGTATGTGTTAATGATGGTAGTGGTGAGGCCTTGTGTCTGTGTCAATGATGGTGGTGGTGAGGCCTGGGGTATGTGTTAATGATGGTAGTGGTGAGGCCTTGTGTCTGTGTTAATGATGGTAGTGGTGAGGCCTTGTGTCTGTGTTAATGATGGTGGTGGTGAGGCCTTGTGTCTGTGTTAATGATGGTGGTGGTGAGGCCTGGGGTATGTGTTAATGATGGTAGTGGTGAGGCCTTGTGTCTGTGTTAATGATGGTAGTGGTGAGGCCTGGGGTATGTGTTAATGATGGTAGTGGTGAGGCCTTGTGTCTGTGTTAATGATGGTAGTGGTGAGGCCTGGGGTATGTGTTAATGATGGTAGTGGTGAGGTCTGTGTCTGTGTTAATGATGGTAGTGGTGAGGCCTGGGGTATGTGTTAATGATGGTAGTGGTGAGGCCTTGTGTCTGTGTTAATGATGGTAGTGGTGAGGCCTGGGGTATGTGTTAATGATGGTAGTGG